GGCGTCCCATATAAAGTGGAGGAAGACGGGCACAGATGTTAGCCCGGGGCCAGTCTTCCCAGGCTGAAAAAAGAGGACTCTGGTGAGGGTTTGGAGGCCTCATCTCCTCACAAAAAAAAAAAAAAAAAAAAAAAGGTTAAGCATTAAAAAAAAAAAAAAAAAAAGATTTGCAGAAAAGTTGCAAAGATAATATAGACTTACCCCTAGTGTTAATGTTTTACCTAACCGTGAAGCGTTTGTTAAGAAACCCACACTGGTGATTACTATTAACTAAACTCTAGACTTGACTTGGATTGCACTGGTTTTCCACCCACATCGTTTTTCTCTTCCAGGACCCAGTCTAGGAAACCACATTGCATCTAGTTATCATGTCTAATTAGCCTCTGGTCTGTGACAGTTCCTCAGTCTTCCCTTGTTTTTCATAACTGACAGTTTTGAGGAGTACTGGTCAGGTGTTTTGTAGACTGTCACTCAATTTGGGTTTGTCTGATGTTTTCCTCATGCTTGGACTGGGGTTGTGGATTTTTAGGAAGAAGATCACAGAGGTGCAGGGTTCTTCTCACCAAATCATATCAGTAGTTGCGTGCTGTGAGCTGGATGTGTGTTAACTCTGGACACGGGGTAAGGTAGCACCAGTTGGGTTTCTCCACTGTAGAGTTACTATGTTTCCCTCTCCATATTCCTGTTCTTTGGAAGCCAGTCACCAAGTCCAGTCCGTGGGAGGTGGGCACAATTATGTTCTACCTCCTGGAAGAGGGAGTATCTTTATGTAGTACTTAGAATTCTGTAAGAAAGATTTGTCCCCCCCCCCATTTATTTATTCAGTTATTTATGTCAGTATGGACTCATGTATATTTCTTTTATACTTTAGGTAATATTTATTTTGTTGCTCAATTGTTCCAGCTTGGCTGTTGGGAGTTATGTCAGGTTGGCTCCTGTGTCTGACATGCCCCATCTTTTGAGTTTTGAGCGCTGCCATGCTTTTCTAACAAGAAAGTAGGAAAGTTCCACCAGGCTCATCTTATATAGCCCCAGCCCTAGAATCAGCCTCTTCTCCAGGGAGCCCTGGTTCCTTTCATTGTAGAATGGCTTCTAATGGAACTTAGACACCGAGATCTGGGCACTGGATGTGCTCCTTGCTACTTGGGAGTCACTGCTTCTAGACCCTCCCAGCAGACAGAGCTAGGAAATATTTATGTATATTAACCCATGGACATGTACATACCTATAATTATTTCTGTATGTGTATATGTATTAAGCTGAACACAAGTTCGCACTTGACTCCTGTACCACAGGGCATATATTTAGATTTTAAGGATGGCATTTTCCCTATCCACAGAATAAAATCATTAAAAAACAAAAAAACACCCAAAACTAGCTTTTAGCTGCTCTTTACAAGAAATATATTGATATTTTAAAGTAATAAAACTATGTTGCCTTCAAATAATGCCTGTCTCTCTAAAATTTTTTGACACACTTCTTCCAGGGACAGATATGGCTGTATTCATTTCATATATGGAGAAACTGAGGCACAGAGAAGCTGTAATGAAGACAATTGAAATATGAGGGCAAAAGCAAATTAAACACATCTTCAGGAGCCGGCTTTCCTTCAGTGAACCCCTAGACTGGTCTAGACTGGTAATACTGATTAAAAAGTTGTTTTGTTTGTTTATAGCTAATTCTCCCTAAAATGAAAGGGTAGTATTTCTATCAGTATTGATAGAAATACAAGATTATCAGGTCAGATTGGTCCTTATTTTATCCTGGTACAAAACAAGAATAACATCTACGAAGTGAAGACAATAGAGTCTCTACAAAAACAGTTCTGTTTAGTGGACTGACTTCAGTAACTTTGGGGAGTAGAATGAAACCTATTAGGTGAGATCCTTCCACATATACTACTTTGCATTGTTCTAAATTCACAGATATTACATGCAGTATATTCATTCAAGTCTTCTATAGTGACTGGCTATAATAACTGAAGTAGCCCCTGTAGCTTGCTGTTTTTCCTCATTGCTTAACCTTACAAAATCAGCCATCTGTCCAAATCATAAGTAAAAGAGCAAGAATGAATTGGTGCAACCAGTGTATGAAAAATAACTAAATAAGAGTTATTAATAAAAGTAACTAAAACAGGATCAGTAGTGTCATCTTTGCATAAAAGTCATGTGATGTTATGCTTTTTTGCCTCAGGCTGATTAGGTTTCCAAAACATCGAAAAAGTCTCCTTGCTGACAACTTCACATTTTTTTGTTGGCCTTCAAGTTTTCTTAAGTGTAGGAATTTATATAAGAGAAAACAGGTTAAGTGGGGCAAACACTGAACAAAAATGACCAAAATTTAAGTTTTAGAATCATCTGTGAATTTAATTTTATTCCACATATTTCATTCCTAAGGTAGGTGACAGTTGGCCAAAACCTTTAGTTTCAGTAAATTCCGTATAAGTGACTATTCGTGTATAGGAAGAATCAACCCATCCTGTCAGTTAACTTTCAGTCTTGAGTATATCTTTATTAGTAATATGGATTTGCTTTTGGGCTCTTTGAGAAGGAAGAGAGAGCTTGGTAGGATTCTACTGTGAGTGGTTGTCAAACATGAGTATGCAGCAGAATCACTGGAGGGCTTGTTAAAACACGCTGTTCCACCCCCCCCCCCGCCCCGTTTCTCATTTGGTAGGTTTGATTCTGTAGGTCCCAAGACTTTGCATTTCCAGTAAGTCCCCAGGTGATGTTGATACTGCTGGTTCAGAGACCACAGCTTGAGAACTGGTCTAGGTAATTTTCAGTAGCTAAAAATAACATGTACTGAAAGTTTACCGTGGGCTGGGTACTGTTTCAGCAGTCCAGCAGTTAGTCTCAAAAACTGTTAAGTTTGGTCCCCATTCTACAGAGAAGAACGTGAAGCCGGGAGAGGTCACACTGCATTACTTGTCCAGTGCCTCACTGCTCATAAGACGGTGGAGCCTGAGTTAGAACTCGGCAGGCTGTTTCCCAATCCCAGGCTCTTTCCTGTTTTAAGGATAGCTTAAAACGCACTCCTGGGGGGACAGCTATTGCTCTAAACAGTTAAAATTATACATTTATAATTCTGAAATAAGTATCCGGAAATGGTTTGTATTTATATGTCTTAAAATAGACAAAATATATAACCACATACGCTATGAAAGTAATACAATATTCTGAGATAACAAGACGCTTGGGGAAAAAATAATAAATTCCTTCCATCTGCTCCTTTCAGCTAAGTGGAACATCAGCCAACTGGGTTCTGCTCCTAGAGAGGCAGGGCTTTCAGGACTCAAGCAGAGGGGACCCTGAAAATTAGGCAAAGGAACAGGAAGCTCTGGTGGTCAGATAACTCACTACAGCTGGATAAAGTCCAGAGAGCAAAGGCTGAAACCCTGATGCTCACCCAGTGGGTAAATATTTAGTGAGCGCCTCCTGCGTGCTGAGCAATGGGCTCTGCAACGGGGAAACCAACAAGGCCAGTCCTGCTTTTAGGGAGCTCAGACTGTGGTAAAAACAATTATATATTGAGCTCTTCACAAGGTGGGCTGCTCTGAGTACAGCCATTTAGCTCCACGGTCACCACCACATGAGGGAGATACTGCTGTTCCCTGTCTTAACTGCAGAGTAAGTTACTAAGAAGTGAACAGAAAACGGGGTGGGTAAAATCCTCTCCTTTGGTTTCATATTCTATTTAACGACCAAGCAAGACTTCTCCGAACCACAAGCACATGTTGGAAAAGTTATCGTTAGACTTTTGTCTCCCAAATAATAGGGTAATATTTATAGAAGACGGGTCCCTTATAGTTAATCCTAAGTATCCCTTATACTTATTTTAATGTATTAGAAAGGGTGCCTTAACACATTTTTTCATCCAGTCATCCAATCTTTTCATCCAAAGAGTTGTTCATTGAAGCAAATTTACGCAATGGCCAACCACGCAAGGAGGAGCTCGATTAAATCCAGCGCTGAGCGCCCCGTCC